ATAAGAAAATTTTTATTAACACGCCAGTTTCAAATCTAAATACAGGGTGTAAGGAAATTTGATACATTCTGCGTAGGAGGTTGAAGGGATGCTATTTACCCATAGTCCGATCCATAGGACTGTGGATCGGACTGAAATCATTAAAATTTTGTAAGGTTTCTTTTATTCTACCTTTTACCCGAATGCCTCAGAACGAGTGTCATGTTTTTCGAGAGTGTGATTCAAACGCAAAGTTCTGGTTTGAAATTATCGCAGTCGGGTATTAATATTTTTTTTTGCAAAACATTATGCAAAATCTATTATGCCTGAAAACTTGGGGATACTCGTAACGTAACATATAGTCTAGTAACTAACGTCAATAGCTGGTTATAACTATTCGGATTGACCCATGAAGCTGAAAATCTTCATGTAGGTACTTCTTGACCTCCTGATCAAAATTAGACATGGAGCCCAGCGGGCACCACCCCCCTTAACCTTTTACCGCCCCCCTTCCTTTACAAGGCGCAACTTTCGAAGTAATTGACTTGGAGGGTAGTTTTTATTTCATATCGTGCGTGACATCTCACTTGAAGCTTATTATGCCCTAAAAATTACCTTTTAGGCCCCCCGGGGGGCCCAAAAGTCCTAAAAGTGGGGTGTCCCGTCCTTGTATGAGATTTCTTATTTTCAAGCTATCGATTCCCAAGTGGTATCAAAAGTTGCGGAATTAGAAAGTTGCGAAATATCTTTAAATAATATTTATCTTTAGGGCTTTGCCGAACACTAAAAAACAATAATATGTTGGTTTCGTAGTCACAACACTTTAACGATCGATAGAGCCCTAAAGATAAACATTATTTAAAGATATATTAGGTTTTTGGCAATCTGTGTCTAATTACGCAACTTTTGATACCTCTTGGGAGTCGATAGCTTGAAAATAAGAAAATCTCATATAAGAACGGGACACCCCACTTTTCGGGCTTTTGGGCCCCCCGGGGGGCCTAAAGGGTAATTTTGACGATACAATAAGCTTCAAGTGAGATGTCACGCACGATTCGAAATGCAAACTACCCTCCAAGTCAATTACTTCAAGAGTTACGCCTTGTAAAGGAGGGGGGGGGGGTGGTAAAAGGTTAAGGGGGGTGGTGCCCGCTGGGCTCCATGTCTAATTTTGACCAAGAGGTCAAGAAGTACCCACATGCCGATTTTCAGCTTCATGGGTCAATCCGAATAGCTGTGACGTTAGTTACTAGACTAATAACCAAACAGGAAAAATGCACGTTATTATCCATTATTTATTTCATTAATTTACAAAACGTATTCTTATTAATGTTTTTAGAAGCTCGTGTATTTCAAAATTATTGCATGTTTTTCCACAATAGGTACGCGATTTTATGATTTCTAATTTCAACACGAATCTAAAAAGTTTAGGAGTCAAAAAGATCATTTGTTTTTGCGTTACGTAATTTGTGGTGCCGGCTTAGAATAGCATCACCCCATATCTTTCCCTTGGCTGTCGTAAGAACCGACTAAGGGATTTGAGAGTATGTATTGCAATATTAAGCGACAGGCTGACAACTTGTCACTATGGTGATGCACAGTCTTCTGAATGATTCTCAAACGTTTGTTAAACGTGGTGTAAATGGCCGTTTACGCTCTGCCTACCCCGCAAGGGATATAGACGTTATGTATGTATGTACATATGTAATTTGTGGACGACCCAAAAACAAAAAACTATTTTTTCCTAACACCCAGGCTCAGTCAATGTATCAGAATTCATCAAAATAGCAGATTGGAGTTTTCAAAACTTGAACTGTTACATTGAGTCAAGCTGGTTGGTATTTAAGCCAATGTCCTAACCTAACTAGTATTTAAAAGTAGGTGTGTGGTTGCCGGAAAAGCCTCCCCGCTATTATTTTGGATCACTCTCGTCTGTCCTAAGGTTGCCTGGAAGAAATTGCTTCTGAGCAATAAGGTCGCCTATTTTTACATTTCTTGAAACTGTGTATTCCTTTCTGTTTGTAACTTTTTGTGCAATAAAGTATAGGTATTCTTATCTAACCAAACTCTGAATAATCTCACCACTTTCGATATTACCAGAATCGGAACAAACGGACTTACGGTTTCGGAAAAAGTTACCTATATTTCCTAACTCTGTCTATGTACAACTTGCGCAGATAAAGAGTGGATTTGTTTCGCTATCACATTAATAAACAGGATGTCAACAAAAAAGTCGACAATTCGGGATCCATTCTTTATCTGATTACGCGACATTTACACATTTGTTATGCATTTATGTATGCGGCGGCACCTTTAAATGTAGTGCATTTATGTCTTTACCATATGTGTTAAATTTACCATTGAATTTACCTGTGTACGTTTTATTGTAACTACAATTGGTTGTCCTAAAAAATATAAATAAAAATAAATCTGCGCAAGTCATATCAGAATTTATCAAAACGGCCGACCCCGATTTGGAGTTTTCAATAAAGTTTCCGCTTGAGTGGCTCCAATGAGCTGCACAGTGGCTCAAATCAAGGTTTCTTCTACAATACCTCTGATCTCATTGGGTTGCGAAAGGCCTCTTGTCACAAATTAGGGAAACGGCGCGCGGGGCGCCTATACAGATGGCTCACTCAGTACTGGCGACGATTTTGACGCTTACTAACCTTAACTGGAAATAACTGTAATCTCAGGGGAGGTCAAGGTAACTATAAGATGGTTGCCACGAACGTCACATTTCTTGTATTAAAATTTGCTCTAAATCATAAGACGTTCTTGTATCAGACTTTGCTGTTTTGATATACTTATATACTTTGAGATTTTTGACAGTAGCAACCCTGGCCATGTAACAAGTGACAATCGCAAAAATTCTGAATAGGGTCGAGTCAGACGAGTGAACCTTCTGTAAACTCTCTATTTTGTGCCTCTGTGGTGTATTCGGCTGTGCATTAGACTCGGAGAGTTCCTGGGTTTTGGTTTAATTTTGTAGTGCTTCTTCTTCTTTTCGACTGGGACACCGAGTCGTCCAAAGACCCGGAGGTGTTAAATATTTTTGTCAGCTTAGAATAGCATCACATCACCCTATATTTTTCCCGTGGGTGTCGTCGTAAAAAGCGACTAAGAGTTTTAAGGGTTGACGAGTATTGCAATTGTAGGCGATAAGCTAACAACCTGTCACTATAGTGATACACAGTCTTCTGAATTACTCTCAAACTTATGTCAGACACATATCTTTCCCGTGGGTGTTGTAAGAAGCGACTAAAAGTTGTAAGGGTTGATATTGAGTATTGCAATTGTAGGCATAGGCTGACAACCTATCTTCTGATTGACTCTCAAACTTATGTCAGGCGTGGTGTAAAAGGCCGTTTTACTGCCGTTTACGTTCTGCCTACCCCGCAAGGGATAAAGGCGTGATATAGGTACGTATTATGTGTGAAGGAAATAAAAATACTTATCATTTCTTAAAACGACACGGTCCATCTGGGTTCCTTCTACGAGTGCACCCAAAAATGTTTAGAAGTTAGGAGTCAATGACCCCCGAGATATTTTAGACGTTGTTCCCAAAAAATATGAACGAATTTCATAATAACAATTTGATAAGGGAAATAGATAATGTACACGTGTTACGTGCATGCACGAAAATTAGAAAAAATACCTATATAGGTACATATAGGTTTTGTTGTAATTATAAGCAGTAGAGGTTTTTTCGTATTGCGTGTGGTAGCGGCTAAGAATATTGCCACCCCTAGTCCGCTCAGGGTGTTTCGTAAAAGGCGACGTAGTTTTAGACCTCGGTTGAATATCTGCTGACTATGGTCAACCGCATGGTGGCGGTAATACCACCTACAATAGTATTCCCAATAAGGATTGACGCCAGGCAGGCGGCCGGTTATAAAACATTGCCAAATCCCTTTGATTTTGTGTCCTTACAAAACATGATGCGCCGACCCCAACTGATTTGGGATAAGGGCATGAAACTGGTGATAGGTACATACGGGTTTTGTTGTATAGAAGCAGTAGAGGACAAAGAGTAACGCAGATTTTCTGTCCCGTTCTGATGGCAGCCGTGTTGCTCGACGGTATAACCTGATTCATAGAAGAAAGGGACCCGAAATGGCAACATTACTAATTGCGTCTTTTTCATATTTTTATTTGAGCAAGATGTCAGCAATAATGTTGCTATTTCGGGTCACTCTCTTCTATGAATCAGTTACCTAATATGTACCTACATAGAACTAAGTAGGAACTGACATGTTTCTTGAGAGGAATCCCTAGAGCCAAGTTTTCATATAAACGTATTCCCCTGTTCTCTTTCCGAATAGGTGCGTCCACACCAACCGAAGCTGCTCGCTGCTACACTGCCTCGCGCGGCATACGCTCGTGCGCAGGCGAGCCAAGTTCGGCCAAATTTGGACGCCTAAATAAACGAATAGGCAAATATCTGAGGCGCGTTGATTTTGGCGCGTTCGCTCGGCTCGGAGCATGAGCATGCGTTGCCTCGGGTGAGCCACGTAATGTTTTGGTTGTTTGCCGCGCGAGGCAGTGAGGCAGCGTGCAGCCTCGCTTGGTATGGACGCGCCTAATGTCTAGTTTAAGTTGTGTTGTTTGATGTTTTTTCTTGTGTTTAGTTTTAAGCAATAAAGGGCCTTACCACAAAAAAGTTAGACCAGTGTTGAACATGTGTCTAGCGTTTTTTTTTTGTATGAAGTTTTATTTTAGACACGCGTTCAACACTGGACTAACTTTTTTGTGGTAAGGCCCAAAGTGCTTATCTAGAATCTAGAATAATCTAGAATCTAGTCTAGATTCTAGATCTAAAACTTTTGATTAAAACAGAGGCACATATTAATTTAGAAATAATCTTTCACATATAGATAGGAAGCCACATTTTCATCTAACAGGCTACTTTACACCATGGGAAAACATTTTAATCCCATGGGAAATGGATAGCAGTGTTTGAAACGACTGGATATGAACAGGCCGCTAGAAACAAATTTTCAGAAAATCTGCAAAATTTTCACTGCAGGCAGGATTTAAACCTGCGGCCTTCGGCATCTATAGACGCCATTTCAAACTGGGCTACCGCAGTTCTATCCTAGCCTGTGAATTAACCAAGTATATCTTGGCCACTAACGCGTGGCAGGGCTCCATCTACCGGGATAGTTTTGCAACTTATTCCCAGTGCCTAATTCATTCTTTGCAGATAAATGCAGTCAAAGCAATAAATTGAATACCAAATTTTAAAACACTTCCGCATATGCCGAAGGTTGCAGGTTTAAATCCTAGGTATCTGCAGTAGAAAATTTTGCAAGGTTTCCAAAAATTTTATGTAGGGACTCATCATGGGAAGTGTTTTAAAATTTGGAATTCAAACTAATTTTCTTTGTTTTTACAGGGTGTAAGGTACAGCTCAGTCAAAAAAAGTTTTACGACTTCTAAAACATTTTTATTGACCTAATACTAATAATAATTTATAATTTTTGCCTTAATTCAGGTAAAGTAACACAACAATTTAAAAAATTGAGTCAAGTTTCACCTGTTGCAAATAATTTTTTCATGTGATATACTAAACCTTCCTCTTGAATCACTCTATCTACTAGAAAAAAACTACATCAAATCCGTTATGTAGTTTAGGAGGAGTAAGCGAATATAACAACAGACAGACAGAGAAATGCAACAAGCGACTCATTTTATACTATGATCATTAATGATCATGATATAAAGTACCACCTGCTGTGCTGTGGTACAGTGAGTTTACCTAAAAATACCTACAGCTATAATAAAAACATACCTATAAAAAACTATTTTTGGATATGTAAATTTTAATGATTTTGCTAAAGTTTAGCACCTTTCTATGTAAAATTTCTACAATGAAGAATTTACATTTGCAATTTACGATATAAAGTTTTAAAAATTTGTTTTGTATTATTAAAGTTGCAAAAGGGAGTTGGGTACTTAATTCATCAGAAACTTTGTTATTTCTATTGAAGGTACGTATGTTGAATGATTCCTAAATAAACAGACTAATTTTGAAACATTTTTCACAGGTTCAGGAAAATTATTTTAAAAGGGCAATATGTAAAAGGTGGATATACTCCTAAGTTAGAGCTATATTTGTAAATATAGTAATAATAAAGTATAGATCTGATGACGGAATCCTTAAGAAATCTAGAGAACTCAACTTTCGAAGGCAGAATTAAATCCTGTATTGGCTTTTTACTTTTCTAGAGTGCCGTCATCCGAATAGGCCATATTTGACGTCTGTCAAAATCATATTAATTCTATGACATAAGGTCTATTTTTCTTTGTTGACATGTTTCCTAGAAAAAAATAGTATGGGTTTGACAGACGTCAAATATGGCCTATTCGGATGACGGCACTCTAGGTACTAACTACCTACCAGCAAATCCACCATCCCAAGTAAGAGACAAATATTTTGAGGGGTGAACCAGCCCATGAAACTGAACAACTTTCCCCAAGTAACATAGAAAAACATGAAAGAAAAATTTGGGCCTTCCATTTCCAATACAAAATATGCCAGCGGACCGAACCAATTTGTATGGTAGGCCCAATTTTTTTTTCATTTTTGACCCATGTTTCTTGGGGAAAGTTGTTCAGTTTCATGCTGGTTTACCCCTTAAAATATCTGCAGTTTAATTTTTTTACACCTCATATACTGGTGTTTCTTAGTATTTGTATGAAATCCAGTATAAGTTAGTCCCATAAATAGGTACCTAAATGAATTTACTGGAATGGTACAAAATAATTTTACCTACCCACATACAACTAGTTACATACAACATTCAAAACAAAAGTCAACAGGATGTTCTGAACCAGCATACACTATCAAAGTTATTTGAAGAAATATTTTAAACAACTCACTCCAACAAAAATATTTAGTTTAGATAACAGAACTAGCTGGTAACTAGATTGTGCCTTATTAGGAACGTTTAAAGGTCATGCTGCCCTTTCCAATGTTCCATATTCAAAAAGTTTTTCAACCAGTACTTACATCAAGGAAGAAATAATTTGTAGAAATTACATCCAGAGGTCCTTTTTGTATACTTGTTGAGGTGTATGATCGCCTGGTAGTCCAAGACGATCGGCACAGGCACTTACGGCATAGGAAATACACTAAAAACACTTTCACAAATACAGTAAACACATATTCAAACTGATAAACAAATGTAACAATTTTTACACTAAATATTCACTTTTTATCACAGAATTTAGTGTCGCACTGTCACTGATTGTGTTATATTGTACACTAGCCCATATTCCGGCACTATATTACTGAGTAATCAACGAAAATTATGATCAATTTGAGTCCCGAGGCTAGGACAACTTTAACTCAAGAAAATTGTCGTTTTTCGTAAGACACCAACTGTATGAACACATAAAAACACAATATTGTAAAGCGCACTAAATAGGAAAATCGATAAGGCCGTTTAATAGTTCCCGCAACTGAACTAGAATAATAATTTATCAAAAAATGTAATAAAATCGACATCATTTCTCGTGACGGCTTCCAACTGTCAGAATCAGAATTTTCTATTACTACCCCGCTTATTTGAAAACGTGATAAATGAATACCAATTAGATAACGAGCGGGACTCTTTACTTTAGTCGGTTAATCGCCCGGTACGAACGAATGTCAACCCTATCGCTGCTACATAGACGGCCGCATACGACTTTCCTATTTGGCGCTAGTCGCGAAAAATACGAAACGGATACGAATTTGTTTGTAAAACTTACGACTGAGCAATAATCAGTCGATTGGAAAATTCCAAATAACAAGTGGCGAACGGGCACGCGGTGTCCGTGGACAGAAACGCGAGACACTGTTTTCGAAACAACGTTGGCCCGACGTCATTTTTGGCGTATTTTGAGTTGGTACGAGAACGGGAAAACTCGAAAGCATTCGGTTGCGAGAACGAGACGGTCGTGTGTTTTGTGCGATCGAATCTCAACTTTATTGCCCTACCGTCTTCATACTGAAATGTTTTATTTTCGTATCATATTCTGAGAAAGTGAGCGAAGCCGTAGCATTTTGAAGTTTTTTTCTATAATATGTATAGATAGGCTAGAGAGCGGTGTTTTCTATGTATATTTTGTGCTGGTGTGTGTAACTTCCCGTACGTGTAGTTATCGTATGAATTTTGTATGGTAGTGTGCGTTTTTGTATGACTTTATATAAAAATTGTATAGTAAGGCGGCTCACCGGAATCAATAATCTAGAAATTCATTTCATATTTTCGAGCAAGTCATGTCTTCGCTTTACGAACTTTTTGAAGCAAGTAGGAAGATGTATCTTTTCTTCGCTCTTTGACTTTAGGGACTCCAAGTTAATAGGTAGGTAGAAGTTCATATAGGTCGCGTTTGTAGTCTTATAGGTATGTGATTAGATAGATCTAGCTAGTTACATAGGTTCATAATGAATCTACCAACCCATTAAGTAAGATGACGTTTCACTATGACGGAAAACACGACTGTTATGATAATTAATAACTTACGGTGCGGTGGGAACTGTCGCTCTGCCTACCCCACAAGGAATATATTATAAGGGATTTGACAGTTGATGTGTATTGCAATTTTAGGCGACAATCTGTCACTATTGGCAGTGAGTGACTCTCACTACAGTGACAGAAAGACTCAAACTATTGTCAGACGACATGATGTAAATGGCAGTTTTTTACAGCCGTTTACGCTCTGCCCACCCCGCAAGGGTTATTTTTTTGATATATGTATGTATCTATGTAGGTTTCTTTTCTGACGATGACGCTGGAAACATTCTCTTTACGTGTATCTAATAGCTCTACCCTTGCTATTTCCCCACTGAGGCCAATAAGTTGTCTGATCAGATCAGATCAGGCAATTTAAGGAGCGGGTGGGGATGGATGGGTGAAATGAAATGTGTCATTGCTCCGCTTCCTCCTATTAATTAATTCTCTGATCATATATTTACCAACTGTAGATAGTGAGAAAAGGCTCAAAACAACAGTAATGCGTACGTTAGTAGGTAGTATTTTTTACGTTGGTTTGGTACTACAATCTCGAAAAATATGTAATACCAATGCAGGTACGTAGGTACACTTAGGCCTTACGCAGCTAGCTTTTGACCTAACTTAGTAACTTAGAAATAGCTTAGTTATTTGGTCAATTTGGATATTTTATTATTGGTATCATTGGTCACTCGTCCTCGTAACATCAGATCAGGCCTTACAAGAAATTACAGATCCAGTGAGCCGCCCAGTTGGTAGAGGCGTCGCCAGTACAGAGATAGCGAAGGTCGCTGGTTCAAATACAGCCTGCAGTGGAAAATTTTGCTAGTTTAAAAAAAAAACAGATCCTTCTAACATTTCTTTGAAAGAATTGAGAGTTCCCAGTACCCTCATAAGCGTACCGCTACTTTTTCCAAGCCCTCAAGAATTTTTTCTATGCAGCCACTGCTATAATTTTAGAGAATTGCTGAATACCTACCTACCTACCTTGAACTTAAAAATATAAGCACGATTTCTACTTCTAGTTTCTAGGTATATTGCCGTTCACTAAACACCTAGGGAGGTAAGTAAAGTAGGCATGAGATGAAGCGGTGGGGATGTAACGGCGTCGTCCGAAATTTAAACTATGCAATTTTTATACCTACTCAATTATACAAAACAAGCCACGCCCAAACGCTTTTTTTTGCGAACTGGTATTTTTTAGTGCACAGTCGGACACAAACTGCTTAATCTTTTCATTAGTAAAAGATAGTTCATATGTATGTAATGAAGGTAACGCAATATTTCTCACCCTGTTCTCAGCATTAAACTACTTATTCACCTCACTTTATTTCATGTGTTTTAGTATCGTAACACAAGTACTTTTAGACAATGAAATTATAAACGTATTTCACATTTATCAATAGTTTTTAGTTTTGTTTTTCTAATATAGCTAAAAGAAAATTAGGCTAATTAATAATCGACCAGTAATTTTGGACCCCCCCGGCAGCGAAAGAGTTAAAATTTTGGGATGACGTTTACCCGGAAGTCATTGTACTTTTTAGTTGAGTTGACAACTTTTTTACTTGTTTATTTAAAGAAATAGGTA